TTTTTCTTTGCTAAAGTAAGGAAACTTTGCTTCCTTTGCTCCTGTTAACAAAAGTTGGTTTTCACGAGACTCACTGGCGCATGTGCAGCACTGACCTCATACGTCATCCGCCCGGAACTGCTTCCGTGTACAACAGTGAGCACAAGCTAGATTAAAGTGATTATTACGTTTTGAATATGGATATTTTTCTTACAAAAACGCATCGATTCGCTACAGGAGGCCTTTGTTAAGCTCTTTTTTTTTATGGATGGGCACATTTTATTTAACTGCTTTTGGACTGATGCATGCAACACCCGCTGAGTGCCATGAAACAGCTTGAAATATCAAAGACAATTTTTAATATAACTCCGACTGGATTAGTCTGAAAGAAGAAAGTCATATACACCTAGGATGACTTGAGGGTAATTTATGGGCTAATTTTCATTTTTGGGTGAACTAACCCTTTACAGTGTGTCTTGAACTTTTTTATCTAGTTATACTCTGGCATTTATGGCATAATGATTTTATGTCTATTTGCTTAAATTATTTAACTAGTTATAAAATGTTATGTCGCCTTTTCCCTTTTTTCATTTTTATTTATATCATATGCATTGTATTACATTAAATCACACGAGGCATCTGAATTTGTCTGATATTTAACTCTCTTAAGGGTATTATGTGTAAAAACGCCCTCTCGCGGTAAGCAAACCTGTCTAGACCAGAATTACAGGAATGTGACACTGAAAACTGCCCAAGTAAATCGCTAAAAAACAAAACAAACCAACGAATAAATAAATACATTAAAAAATTAATGTAATTCAGTCTTTACTGTATATCGCCGGGCGTATAATTCAAATCTCATTGCCACACTCCACAGTCAACTGTTATATGAGGCAAGGCAGTTTTGTTAGTGGGATGAGGCAGACTGTAAGGGCAAGGCTGCACTCTGAACCACTTGATCTCGTTACTTCGTTAGGGTTTCGGTTGAAGTTAGTTAACTTACCGTTGGCATAGACTCTCAGGCACACCTTCTCCTTCTCTTATCTAAGAGGGCGTGTCCCAAACGAGTCTAGTAAGCGAGGAATCACCTGAGCTCATTACACCAGCAGCGCACAGGTGTAAAAATGGGCAAAGCAGTTGGACGCTGGGACTTTGAATGGGTCTATAATGAGCAACCGCACACATGGAGAAGAAAAGAAATATTAGGTAAGTTTACATTAAGTGACAGAAAAACATACGTCAGCAGAATTTGCTAAAACATAGCCTACTGTAGACGTGATATGATTTCGGTTAGCCGACTGACTTGAATTTAATTTAAATATCAATGTAACCATTTGGTAGCGTGTTAGATTTTGTTATCTGGTTGTTTATCTTGTGTTGGTAAAGATATATAAGCTCAAATGTGTGCTTTATGCACAGTGCCTGTCACGGCATTTAACTCTGATCACTGATTATACAGGAACTCGGACAATTAACATGACATTTTAATCCTGGATTAAATCGGGATATCTTCCCGAACTAATTTCAAATGGGAAAAAAGTTAATTCAGTATAAATTCTTAATACTAATTCTCCGGAAGAGTGTGCGTGTGCCGGTGAGCGTGGGTGCGTACGCAAGGGCTTGTGAAGAGGGCGCGTAAGGAATGTTTTTTATTTTTTTTATAAATGTTTTTCGTTTACAAACTCTATCGTCGTGTGTTTCATATGCATACACTACATACTAACTACCCTCATTTTTACGTGTAATTGAGGTCAAGCGTACTTTGCCATATGTTCAGTCTAATAATAGTTAGACTAAAGACAGGTGTAGTAGACAGGTGAAACATGGATGTGTTTTACCTGCCTCACATCTATCAGACAATAGCTTCAGGGGATGATAATTTGTGTAAACTGATTCCATGCATTATTTGCACAATAGCAGTGGGTCTTGCATGGTAACAACATTCTAGTCTTATGACCATATGCTAACTGTAAAGATATCATGTCACAAGCTCAGTTCACCATAAAACACATTTATGAGCAACTTGGAGATCTCACCACAAATATCACAATATAGAAGGCCAGAGTGTTTTTTTCTTCTGTGTGCAGAAGTAAGGAATTAAAAAGCTGACGTTCTTTTGACATCACATTGAACTGTAAGAACTGCCACTTTAGAGTAATTCTCCATTAATAGACACCGAAAAAACACCTTTTGGTACTGATATGATATTGTGAAGTTACATGGGTAGTTTTACACCTCAAGCTCTTTAAATATTAATAATGTATTCTATAGTCTTCTGACTATTCCAGAAAGGATGAGGACGCCATTTACAAATTCTGGTATATATAAAGTTGATAATAGATTATGTAAAATATTATATTTTAAGCAACAAAACTGATATAATTATGTATAATATTATATACAAAACATAATAAATATATTGCATACAATTTTATAATAATGCAGAAAACCTGGTGTAAAAGTGTTTTTTTTTTTTTCCCAATTATTTTTTTCATAATAGACCATTATAGGATTTTTATTTTTTAAACAAAGCATCACCTTGGGTTTTACTAGTGTCTGACTGGAGTTTGTGGCTATTTTATTTACACACTTTATAGCATTTGGTTACTCGTTACACAGGTGAACTTGCCCAATGTTCAGAAACTTTGCATGCATGTTGTGTTATTTTAGGCTTAAATATGACTTATAGAAGCTGAAACACAACCATCTTGTTCAGAATAAACCTGTTTGTGTGTTTCTGTGACATTAAGCCATGACAGGTGTGCTCTTGTTCAGAGTAGAAGAGACTCAAGGGGCAGGAAAAGGCGCATCCAAGAATCTCCACCTACATGTGTACAAGAACATCACTGCTCGTGAAGCCCTATAGTGTTGCCGGCAGCTGTGCTTGTTTTGTGAGGGCTATTTGTTTGACCGATATGTAAAATGTAAAGGCCAAACAAATACACAGATGATCTGACCTATGGAACTGAACCAGAAACATTTCCTTGTTCAATGATGACTGAGGTGCCCAATTCACCTGCCTTACTGTGAATAGCCCTTGACGAAAAACAAAATATGATACACGTTACCATACACTTGAGCATAAACCAGTAGAAAACCTTGCAATATGAACCGTTTGCATACAGACATTATGCAAACTGCATGAAAAAGTGTTATGGCAGATTTGCGTGCAGGTCGCCTGTAATTGTACAGGTGAAAGTGAGCGCTGTGAAAAAGAGCCAAATGATACGTCAACAGAACATTAGCAGGGCAAACAAATCTGCTAATTAAAAAGGCACACCGCCAGGGGGGTGTCTCTCCCTTGTGGAGGAGAATTAGTGATTGGTTGACTACCTATGCAACATAGTGCCTTAACATGTTTAATAGGTGACCACTAGCAACTGCAATAAAGTGATAATCTTTATTAGTTTAAGGCTAAGTGTAAATAACAATCTTAATTGAGTACAATCTTAATAAAAAAAAAAACAGCTTTAAAAGTGATACAGGCATAACTATTGTGAGAGCTACTTAAGTGAGATGTGAAGGCTTAATTTCAAGTACAGTCTGTCTTTAATGGAAGTACGACAAATCCTTCAACACGAACAAGACTTTAATAAAGATATACGATAACCTCTATTACAAGAAACTAATTTCAAGAGCTCAAGCAGTAGTTTTAGTGTAATGGTTTGAAGGATTATTGCACTAATGCAGAATGCACTATACTGTAGTGTAGACACTGTATATATTGTATTTTTTTTTGCTGATTTTTAATATGAGAAACTTTTTTTGTTTCTCATATCACTCTGCAGTCTTTTCTGCTCATCACATAATAAAAATATTTCATTCAAAGCTGTATTTTATAGCAATTTGGTAATCTCAAATCTCTTTAAAATGATAAAATTCAGATTTTTTTTAATTTATGTGCAGTATCTGCAGATAAATATTTATTTATATGTATATACAAATGCGTACATGTATGCATATGAATATGTGTGTGTGTGTGTACTGGTCGCCAAAAGTTTTCGAAAAAAGTTTCCCCAAGGCTTCATTTATTTGATCAAATACAATAAAAACAGTTATTGTGAAATATTGTTACAATTTAAAGTGACTTTTCCGCTGTCATATACTTTTTTTTCAACACTGATAATAATAATCATTATTAATAATTTAGCAGCAAATCAGCATATTATAATGATTTCTGAAGGATCACATGATACTGAAGACTGGAGTAATGGCTGCTGAAAATTCAGCTTTACATCACAGGAATAAATGTATTCAAATAGAAAAGTTATTTTAAATTGTAATAATATTTCACAATATTGTTGTATTTTTTATCACTTTTGATGTTTTGGCAAGTCTAAGAGATTTCAAAAACCTCAAAATCTTAAAGCCTGTATGTGTATGTACATATATTTTAAATGTAATTATTATTCAAACTATATCATCTCATGCTCTTAACATTGTTCTCGCTCTTCAGCAAAGTATCCTGAAATCAAGTCTTTGATGGGTCATGACCCCCAGCTGAAGTGGGTCGTGTCAGGGATGGTACTCACCCAGCTCCTGGCGTGTTACATGGTCCACGAGCTCTCCTGGAAGTGGGTGTTGTTTTGGGCGTATGCGTTCGGTGGCTGCATCAACCACTCTTTGACCCTAGCCATCCATGACATTTCACACAATGTGGCCTTTGGCACTAAAAGGGCACGCTGGAACCGCTGGTTCGCCATGTTCGCCAATCTCCCGATTGGCTTGCCTTATTCAGCATCCTTCAAGAAGTACCACATCGACCACCATCGTTATCTCGGAGGAGATGGATTGGACGTGGATATTCCTACCGACCTTGAGGGCTGGTTCTTCTGCACCCCAGCCAGAAAGGTGCTCTGGCTCTTTCTCCAGCCTTTGTTCTATGCGCTCCGTCCATTGGTGGTGAACCCCAAGCCCGTGACCAGGTTGGAGATGCTGAGTGCGGTCGTGCAGTTTGTGGG